GAAGGTTTAAGTTCAGCAAAGCCATGCAATTCTACTGAGCAAAGTTTACAGAGAAAAAGCAAAAATTCCATTGGTAAATGGAAGCTTGGATTTCCCTCAAGCATGCTGTAAGCCCAGGAAAAATCGTTCCAAGAGCTTCCACCACTGCGATCTGTTTCAGTTGAATCTTGTGACCTTCTAAATGCATCACGGTGAAATATTGCTTTTAGGTTTGTTTGGGGTTGGGTTGGGTTTTTTTTTGGGGGGGGAGGGTCTTTTTTGACTCCTCAGTGTCTCGAGCACGTTTGTTAAGAACCTCACATACCTGCTTCAAGGCCTTAACGTGTTTAGCTCGTGAGCGCTTCACTGCGGGAGCTTTTCGGTCTGACACAGTTTGCTCCTTGCACAAGGGCACGTGTGGGGGTGATGTTTTCAGTAAGCGTTTCCCGAGTTCAATGCCGTTCCTTTGTTCCGAGAGGCAACTGTTGATAACTCTCATAAACACGCTCTTCTCCCAGAGGCAGGCTTGCTGCTGCCTTTATAATTTTCTGGAAAACCGTCTCTGGTTTAAGTCTTTGGTACTCAGGCGTGGCAGAGCGTTTGCAGCTGTTTCACCCCGGAGAGAATCTCTGCTCTCATGACGGAGGAGTAAAGACAGACGCGACACCGTGCTGCCGAGAGCGGGTGACATTAATAAGGAAGGGATTTATGACCCGTAAGCGTTCGTTGCAGTTAGTGTTAAAGGTTAAAAGAACCCATGCTTTAAGAACAGCCAAAACCCAGAAAAACCCAGCTTTGCTATAGCGGAGGCTCAAAGTCATTTCCTTTCGCCCACTCTCCAGGCAGCTGTAACCACCCTGCTCGTTTACTAGTTAATCATTCTCCCTTTTATTCAAAACTGGACTGAAGTTCCCAAGCCCTTGTAGCACAGATGGCAGTGCGAGGCTGTCAGCTGGCGCTGCAGCTCCTGTTCCGTTACGCTTAAGTCTCTCCCAGACAGTGAAATTGGCCATTAACCTCCTGATTCAAGACGGGCAGGAAAAAACAACCAAAAAAAAAACCCAAAAAAAATCTTTATTCAGAACATGCGTCCTGACACAGGATGAGGCTTCAAGGCCATCAAAAACAGAGCGAGACCCTTGGAGGCGAGTGAAGCCTGTGAGGTAGCTGAGGACGTTGCAGAAGCCCCCTCCTCTGCTCACGCCCTCTGGAGGGGCTTCGGAGGGAGCTGCCCAGCAGGACCCTGCTCATTTCATGGGAGGGTTTTCCTGCCGTCACCGTGGAAGCCACCCTGGGAGGGAGACAGCCAAGGACACGGACTGAACAGCAGCTTGGGAATCAAACCCTCCAGAAAAAGGAAAATCATTTGGATAGCCTTTAGCCTTTATTTGCAGCCCTTTCTACCAAAACTAGAAACAGCAGCATCTGCTCCTGCCCTCTCGTGGCAGTTTTCAACCTTTAGGAAGATGTTGGAGGTTGCCAGTAACAATTAGCTAACAAGACAGCATGAAGGACATCCAAGTTTTTCCTGTTCCTACACGGAAAATTGCTCAGTGCAATGGTGCCGGCTGCCCTGCCGCTGCCCCGTGCCCTGAAAGCATGGGGCAAACACCTCCCAGCGCCATGAGCCACCCGAGCTGCCTCGCAGGGAGCGGGACCGAGCCAGAAATCCGTGCATCAGTGAGCACTTGAGAAACTGTCTTTGTCCTGAGGCTAGCAAGGCTCTTTTACAACAGCAGTATTGCAGCAGCTAGAAGTTATCTCCATCTGAAAATGAGAGTCTTACAGATGGATTAAAGCTGACAGCAACTGCTCCCCAGCAGCAGTGTCGGTTTAGGACCAGGAGCCTCCTGTGAAATACTCCAAAGGAAAAAAAAAAAAACCACCAAACCAAAAACCAGTAAAACACAAAACCACAGAAGCAAAGAAGAGCCAGATTTGAAGAAAATTGGAGCTGCAGCTCCAACTCTACCCGGGCTCGTCACCGGCAGCGTTTCAGCCCATCGCAAACCAGCCCCAGGATGTCCCGTTTGTGCCAAGGTCACCGGAGCATCATGCCGGGGGAGACGGGAGGGCTAAGCACCCTGGATCCACAGTCCCGGACATGGGTCCGTGGGGTGACAGGAGGACAGGACGGCCGGGGTGGGACATGGGGGTTACACAGAATGAACAGCATCAGCGGTGACAGAGCTAGGCTTGCACCCGCAGCTGCAGTGTGGAGCCTGTGTCTGCGACTGGCCAGGCACCGCCAGCGTCCAAGAGCACCGGCAAGAACCACCTTCCTCTGGGCCTTTTCCCTTTAGTCTGGCAGTGCCAGCGGACGGCACCGAGCAGCAGCTGGACGAGTGGGTGGCTGCGGCAGAGCCCACGCAGGACATCTCCAGGGGTGCCCCTCGAACACGCTCAAGGAACTGAGCCCCCCACGAGAGCACCATGAACCACCCCTCCTGCACCCACCACCCAGCCCAGCTGGAGATCCAAGGTCCAGGCACACAAACCTGTGCCAGCAGCACGTCTGGAGCAGCCACCACCAGCAATTTTGGAACGTCTTCCAGGCCATGCAAACCCCAAGCAGGAACACGGCAAAGACCTGAGCAAAGACTGCCCGGCCCGCACCCCCACAGGGGATGCTCAGTGCTTGTTCCCTCTCCTCCTCTCACCGTTCAACCACAGGGTGCACTCTGCAGAGGGGAGCCCCGAGGCTTCTCCCACCAGCTGGGGAGTCCCCTGGGAAGCAAACATGGGCGAGCTCAAACCCCGAGAGCTGAGGCGAGCTGAGGCGCTCAAGGGTGTTTGCAAACCCAGAAACAACCTCCACAGGAATAAAAAAAAACCCAAGACAAGACTGCAGCTCCCGCCAGCCTGCAGAGAGCACCCAGCACCCTCCGCTGCGGCGTAACAGAGGCTGCGGAGCACAACGACAGCGGGTTACGAGGGGTAGGCTTGAGACAACAGATTTCCAGTGCCTGACCATCTTCAGGGCACAAATCCTGTTAGAAACCATCCTTTGGCCACCGAAACCAGGCCTGAGCCCCCAGGGGGGAGGCTGCAGAGACACGAGGGTGCAACGCAACCCGCTTTCACGGCAGGGCGCAAGTGATTCAGTCTCTCGTCCTTCAGAGGGAAGATCAGCAGAAGCATCTAACTGCTGTAGGCTTCTATTTTTATACCTCTATTCAGGCCAAGATATTTAAGTACCCAAATTCACCTCGGAGAATATCACTACATTTAGTGCCAGACTTGCTAATGAAGACATTAAAAAAGCAAAAAAAAAACCACCAAAAAAACCCCACCGCCGTCACCCAGCACAACCCCAGCCAGCCCACGGTCTCCTAGGCCGTGTGTGCTGTTACACCAAGGCAGGACTGGTTCCCTTCAGCTTGGTTAAACCACCGACTTCCATTCCCTGGCCAAAAAGCCCTTCGAGAAGAACACGGACCCCATTGTCTGATTTTCACAGGTTCCACGTTCCCACCCCGGTGGGGCACAAGGAAGGTGTCTGATGATTTTCCGTCTTAGAAATTACTAAAGGTGGTTCGGCCGCAGCGCTATGGGGAATCCCGCGTGGGTTAGCGATAGCATGGCTGGTGGGACAAGTCCACGCCGAGTCAGCACCCCGCGGGGGCCGTTCAGGCCTCCCCTCCCTCTGCTCCAGCAGCCAGGCACAAAGTCCTCCTCCAGCCCCTGCCTAATTCAGCTGTGCAGCGTGATCCCACAGGCCGTCACGGAGGCCGGGAGAGCAAGCGGTTTCACAAAGGGGTTATCAGGCAGCTGTATCGGTGACTACTAAACGCAGTGTCTTTGCTCCAGGAAGGTCTCTGCTGCCAGCAACGGGACCCTGGGCTGGATCGAGCTCTGATCTGATCTACAGCAGCTCCAGCGTGCAGTGTTTAAACAGGGCTTAAAACCATGATGCCGTACCTGCTGGTGAGGCTCTCCCAGAACACATTTAAGCTTTCGAACTGCAAAGCTGGCAGCACTGATGTCCCGGTGAGAATTCATGTCAGGCAGCAGCAGGCAGGGAGCTGAGAAGACAAACTCCACCTTTACTACTGCTTTATTCCGGCCATTTGAAACGTCATCGATTTTCTTTCACCTGAGAACGGGAGCGCAGTTGCTCGACTAGTGGCACAAGCGTTGAGAACAGATCAGGTAAAGTGTTCAGGCTGCTTTTTTTAAGTGTTTGCTGAACAGCCACAGATGATTTTTTTAGTACCTGCTCCCTCCACCCTCCGCATTTCATCCGCGTCTAGCGGCACACGTCGCCTGCATCCCTCCGCACAAGGCTGTGTTACGAGTACCTGTGCTCTGCACGCAGCAGCTGTCTGGTGGCCAGGAAGATGTCCAGGTGCCTTAGAAGTATTTTGCACTTCAACAGCATTTTCGACCAGAGTTTCAATGCACGTCACAGCTAACGGTTCTGCTGGTCACCAGTTTACTTACGAATAAAGTTTGCCCCACCCCACGTTAAACAGCCACTGGGGAAAGGATAGATTTTCCCCTAATCTCTTCGGAGAGATATTTACCAAATATCCGAGGGTCCCACTACTCAATCCAGGACTGGTACAGCTCCGGGCTGCCCCTGGTGAAGCCAGAGGATTTGCTATCTCCTCCCAAGGTATCTCCCCGCTCCCCAGTTCATAATCTACTATTTCAACCCCTGCAAACCTCTGGGCTGTGTTACGCTGGTAGGATGCCAGTCCCCTACTGATCACCAGACTGCTGCCGATTAACCACCCTAACGGGTAACTGGCAGGGATGTCTGAAGCACCAGAGGGAGCTTCCACTCATTGAAACCCCCAGTCTTCAACAATTACAGGGTACAATCGATTTGACAGCAAAACACGACGAGACAGGATCGCTACCACCGTGTACAACACTGGCTCTTCACTGTTTATAATCCCGAGCTCCCAAACTTCTGTCCTTACGAAATCGGTGTTCATTTGGGTCCCAACTCACGATACAGGGAGGAGTTTACCTGGAAGGCAGACGGCAGCTAGCTTTAAAAAGGCGGAAGTTTTTAACGTGAGGGGCTGTATAAGTCATGTGGGTTCTCTGAAACGTAGATTGCAGGCAGTTGCAGGAGTCTTGCCGGCCAAAGCCATAGCGCGGGCTGGCCCAAACCATTTTCTCACAGTTCGATGAAAACGAGCGGAAGAGCAGAGTTGTTGCACCACTCGGCCCAGCACAAACAAGAGGTAACGGCAATGTACGTATTCAGCAAAAATACTTTGGCAACACCGGTGCGGATGAGGGCATGCCTCTAGATAACACTTTATCCAGATAGCCCTTTTCCTCCGCAGAAGCAGGCAAATACCACCTCACTTCACAGAAGAGGAAGAGGAAACCCGGGGACAGGGGGAGAGCGGCTTGCCCAAGGTCAGAGGAAGGCTCAGCCGCAGCCAGATCTCTCTCACAACAGGCTTTATCAGCTCAGGCTCCCTCCAGCACCCCTTCAGCTTGCAAGTCTGCAGTATTCTGCTCCTTTCAGGAGCGTTACAGAGTCATCACAAAAGTTTCCACTTCGAGCCCTTCCTAAATCTTTCCTGTAGCGAGCACCTTTATTTTAAAATGTGCCATTTCAAGAGGCCGGAGTAGAACAGCGAAGAAGTACTGATCACAGAAAAAGAGAGACCGGCCAGAGGAGCAATACGCACACGTGCCCAGAAGAGCCCTCCTGCACGGGAGCAGAAAGCACCCTTCTGTAAAAATGAGAGGTACAAAGAGCAGCAGGTATCTGGGCTGCCACCCCTGGCAAAGGAGGGGTTTCTGTTTTCCTTTGCGGCCCAAACACAGAAGCAAAACGAACCAAAAGACCTGACCGGAGGCGGCCTCGTTCTCCAGGGAAACCGGGGCATTGCCGGGGCAGTGGGTTTGCACGACACGCCCAGCCAGCTCTGTACCACAGATCTGAAACCGAAACAGATGCTTTCCCCCGCCCCGCCGCCTTTCCAATAGTCGGGTCTCCACCACCACCGCAGTTTCAGCATTAAGAAATTAAGTATTTGATTAGAGATCAGTCTGATTGGCAGCAAACCGTAACTACAGGAAACCTGGATGGGCTCTGGAGAGGTAGCTCTTGAAATAGCCTGCTAATGAAGTACCCTTCAACTCAAACCATCCAGAATTAGAAGCTGAAATCACTTCCCAGCCGGAGGCAGGCTCGCTGCTACCCCATCTGCAAGGCCACTTGATCACGGGGCAGAGCCAATGCTGTGGGAAGGGCGAGACTGAACTACCGCACAGATGGGAAGCGAGGACTCCCAAAGTCAGTTTTGTCACGGTTCCCCAACCCTTATTCCACGAGCGATGGCTTTAAAAGCCACGTCTCCCCCAGGCTTCTGTCGTGACATAAATACGGAAGCCTCCACCGAGGCAGTACTTGATCGTCCCTCCAAAAGTGCTCTTTGAAGGGTAGTGTGGTTTAAAGAAGCAATTCAGTCACCTGCAACACAAGTCTTCATTTTTATTGAGTTAGTAAGGTCTCAACTGATTCCGATTTAAGTGATCTATAAGAAACCCTCCTTTCTCACAGTAAGAGCAGGCCTGCCCCAGGGAAGTGATGAATGCATCGAAGAAATCACATTGACAATGTACAAGAAGCATTACTCTCAATAACGGTTAGATTTCTCCTAGCACCGAGGAGTTTTAGCACAAACCTTAAATCACCTCAAGCGATCCATCAACTTTCTTGTAAACGAAATCAAGCATGGCAGCGACAGGTTTCTTTTTTTTTGAACGGGATTATAAACACTACGCAGAGTCTTGAAAAAGCAACACGGCTGGAATATAAGCAATACAGTTTTAATTCTGACCAGTCACCTACAAACCCCTTGTCTTTCCACTGTTCTGATGGCATTATTAAATATCACATTTGTGACATCGCTCGGGAAAAATGACACAAAGATACAGACATTATGATACAATAGTACAAATGATAAATTATTTATACAGTAAATAATGTCAATAGTCAGCACAAATTCATAAAAAGCAGCCGGCTCCCAGTATTATGAAAACAAGTTTGGTAAATATTTAAATTGTAACACTTGTAAAGGAAGTGAGTCTTGTGAGATTCTGCTGTGAAAAATAAACCATATATTTCTCCACAATTTGTGCAATATTAATACATACAGTACACATTAGAAACTGTAACAGCAAAAGGGAAGATGGATAACAATAGTCGTCTTAGCTACGGGACTTCAAAAAGACTGTAAACACCACAACCCACCATGGTTTTCCTTCCCTGTCCCCTCAATGTAGTTTAGTTTCTATATAGTATAAAACTGAATAAATAACTGAGCTTATTTTGGGTTTAAAATTATGCCAAGATTTTTTTTTTATTTTTTTTTTTACAAAATATTTAACACTTTATCTTTGGTCAATTTGACCAGTAAGGCTATTTTGGGATACTAACATTTTAAAAATCAAAAGCACTTTTAATATTTGCAAGTGAGAAAAGAAGGGGAAGCGGGAAATGCATTTGGAGAAATACGCCAGAGCAGATGCGATCGGATACGCACACGTCCTCCGTGCAAAAAGAAGCGGGAGGGCGGGGAGGGAGGAGGAATTATTCTGGAGAGCAGTTAAAATTATCGCAAAAAGAGATTTACCATTCTGGACACAACTGAAGCTTCACCTGGCTAGGACAGCAACCACCGTTCAGCGTCACCGCTACAGCACCCCACGCCTGCAGGGCACCTGAGACACGGGCACGGCTCCAGCCCAGGAACCGAGCGGATTTACCAAACCGGCTGCTTACCCTCTTCAACCCGGCTCCTGCCGCAAGCCCCGGCTCAGGCTGGGAACCTCGGCACGGTTAGTCCTTAGCCTAATGCTTTACAGCACCACAGTCTGGGCCGATGGCTCTTCAGAGTGCCTTGTCATGGTTTATTGTGCGATATAGGTCTATATATATATATAAAAAAAAAATGTAAAAGTAACACAGCTCTTACAGAAGTGGCTTGGTAAAAGCAACAATTTGCCATTCAGCAGTTTCATTAAGCTAGGGCTTCCTACCAGACCAACAGCCCATCTCTATCAATTCACGGTGACAGATCATGACTCTCAACTGTAGATGACTTCATCATCTTAAATGCTCACTATCAACCCCATCTTGCCTCCAGAAACAGTTACCTAGTGTTTAACGAGAGGATGCGGTTAGAACTTTCTGGCTGAATAGACAATGCCCCATCTAACTGTTGCAAATGCATTCAGGTGACAGACTAAGGGAAAAACATCAAGTGACCTCAATCCCACTGTGGATAAAATTAAATTGGAAAAATAATGAAGGATAAATCTTGCCACAGATCAATTGGAAAGCACTCAAAACCCCCCCCCCCCCCCCCCCATCTGCAAGAATCGCACCCTTCCTGGTCTACACTTTTCAGTAACTTCAACAACAACAAAAAAGTAAAGTATTTTTCCTTATTCTGAAAGGCAACATGAATGGTTTTTTGTTTGTTTTTTTTTTTTTAAAGACATACTGGGTGTGGACAGTAATTCTCTTTCCTCCTATGTAAAAACAAGAGCAGATGAATATTCTGAATCCTACTTGCAAATTCAATAGTATTCAAGAGGATAGAACAATCTGCATAGAAACATCCACACATTTAGCATTCCGTATACTAATAGAGCTACACTGACCTACACAGCTAAGATCTGTGATTGTACCCTAGATTTGATAGTCTCTCAGCCTCCCCTACCCACCCAAAGATACAACCCAGTCCCTTCCACGTTAGCCAGCCCCTCCTTCCTGCGGCACGCGACCCTAGACTGGCACAGTCCCAACTACAGCATCATTACACCAGAACACACAACTCTGGCAATTTCTTTCAGCTTCTTTGTTTGTTTGCTTGTTCCCCCAACCCCCCCAACCCCCTTCTAATTAGGGAAAGGCCACCAAGATGCATCAGTTCATTCACAGAGATGCCCTCAAGGCAGTAGCAAGCACTGGGACATCCCTTTCCACGCGCTCTGCGGACGTTTGCGTCGTTGCTTGTGAAAGCAGAGCTCAGAAACGTTGCCATCTTTGAGAAGGCCAGGTTTCCACCAGAAACACTGGCTGAAACCTGAGCGCGGTTTAGTGCCGGTGAGTCCAGACATGCAAGTTAAAATGTACAGTTCAGCTTACAATTAATAGTTGTAAATGGAACCGGTTATTAATATGGGGTGCACCTTTCATTAAGAAAAATTAGTCAATGAAATTAATGAGTCGTGTTTGCACATTAGAACTTTTAACATCTCAAGTATTACAAGAAAAACCAGCCTCTCTTCCAATCTTCATAAAGGCTAAACGTCTGTCCATTTTGGTAATCGGGAAACGGGAACAAATCAAGGGGAAGGCGACTTTAGTGTTTTTTCTTTTTAATGTAGTCTTAAATCACGTTATGCTGAAATCTAATTCATCTAAAAATAATTAGTCACGAGAATTTGTTTTGATTTGCATTATGAATACTTCATTTAAAAGTAAATATTTTATTGTTAATCTTCCCTTTTAAACTCTCTTTACAGAAACGAAGAGCTAAAACCATAAATAAGAGGGCATTAAAACCATAAAAATGACATTTGCCAATATCTTAATTTTTCAGCCAGACTTGATAAATCTATCAAAACCAGACAGTTAAATAAGAACCACATTATAAAAATTAGCAAAAAAAGGACTATTAGGTAACTCTGCAAACTCAAATATGAAACTGTACTAAACAAAATATGTGCAAAAGTATACAAGAGTAACTGCATATAGCAAGGTTAAGCCTGAATTAGTTTTAAAGCTTGCCCCGGTGAAACTGAATTCAAAGTTGTCCCACTGTATTTCTTTTTTCTTTCAACTCACATTGTAAGTCAAATAAAAACAAAATACACATGATAACTTCCAAACGAAGCTGGTACTGGACAAGCACAGAGCAGGACACTCACTCAGCACGAGTGCAGCATGCCACTCACAGAGAGTTCCTCAGGAGTCCTTAGAGAGTAGTGTACAAATTCAACACTGCATAAAACAGCACACGTTATACTTGACAACTTGAGAATGTTCTTGGGCTTTTTGTCTGTTTTTTGTTTTGTTTTTTTTTTCCTTTTGAGACAAGCTTGCTTTCTCGGTCAAACCTCTGATAAGAAAGCAGTGCGATTTTGCGTTGCAATGTTTAATGCATAAAAACCAGCCACCTGGGCCCTCCGAATCGTTCTCTTCTAAGAGTAAGGACTATGGGTGAACCAACAGTCTAGAACTGTGTATAGTTATGTGCAAAACATTCACTAGCACTCTGAATCTCAGGTCTATCATATGGGCATAGGAAGTGACAGATGCAGGTAAATAGTAATTTCAGGATCCAGCACATCATCTGACATCTACAAAATAGCCAACGGAGTTTAAAATGGCAGGTTCTCCCTAGAAAGTGTATTGAAATGATTAACAAAGTAACAAAATGGGCAGAATCTAACTTTGGTGAAAAGTCTGAACATTTCACATAATGCTCAACAAGCCAAAGTAAGGTACCATCTGTAGCAAAGACTAGATTTAGATTAACTGGTAAGTAGAGACAACTCTTCAAAGATCATAACTGTAAACTGCAAATCTACTTCCAAGTCTCTTACACACCGTTCAGTCCACACAGGCCACGTTCATTTTGCTGTAAAGACTTCAGCCTGGAAACACTATGAAAAGAAAGTTCCTTTAATTGGGTCTTTATAGGAGAAAAGGGTTAGTTGTATTTGTAGACTGGGATGCTGACGGCGGGATCCCTGTACTGTGAAGAGGTTGGGTCATTGATCCTGCAATGCTCACGTTCAGCCCCTGGCCCATCCTTGTTATAGATGCCACAGTGCCCATAGCTGGTATCGGTGCCATTCCCACAGGCACTGGGGCCATGGAAGACAGAGGTATTGGCTCCATGCTTATCGGTGGCACAGCACTGAAAGAAGGGCTGGTTCCCATCACAGGACTCGCTCTCATCTGATTTAGAGTGAGTGGCTGAGGCTGATTCACTTGGAAGGGGTTGATTGGAGTTGGTGCTGTAGCGGCGCCTAGTTTTGAGAGAAGGGGGAAGAGGGAAAGAGATCGCACCTCCATAAACATGAGGAGATTGTCTTTTCTGGCAAAGAACGCACCTTCTGCACATCCCCACATGCTCCCAACCCCAAAACACCCTGCCGAGAAAGCTGTGTGGATGCCATTCAGCAAACCGGGGCTGCACTGGTGCACAAGTACAGGCTGTTGCCCTGAACCTACCAATGCCACAAGACATCCCTTTGCTGACCAACAGCTTCCACTTCTGATAGTAGTCACTGGAGAGACAGATTCTAAATTTGGTTACCTGGAACACGCTTAACCACCACATCCAGATCACCGTGGTGTTTTTTTTTAAATGCTACTTAAAATTTGCCTTACAGAAGAGAACTAATTGCAGGCTCTCTGTACTCCTTTACTGCAATCTGGCTACTGCAGATTTGTGCATTTGCTTCAAGATCTCATCCAGTCAACTCCATTTAGAAGCTGTACATGTTTCTGGCACTGAGTTTTGACAGGAATTCATAAAGTAAACCAGTTGTTTCCGAATTACAGCGGTGCTAGAAAAAGCAGAGAATAACTTTCCCAGCGTTTGAGGTTCTTTGGACTGCTGCCAACACTACAAATTCCTTTTACCGTATATGTATAGCGTTATTTGGATGGCCCAGTGACCCCTTATAAACTTTTTGTAGTAACCGGTAATGGCAGATACACAGACTTCCTCTTGCTGAACACTGCCAAGGCTGTTCAGAATTACTGGTTTTTTTCCTACCCAAGGAGTTTAATAAACCGACATTTTTTTCCATTGGAAGAGCGAAGAAAATAAATACTGAAATAGTACTTTAAAGTATTTCACCATACTAGCATCACACAGAAATTTCAGTGCATATGAATAGCTTTTAAAAAATATACACATCTTCCACGTGTTTAGTGTCACCATCTAAGTCTGCTGTAAGTAAAGGCTCACTTCTAACCGGGGCCAGTTTACAGGAGAACTGCAACAGCTTATTTTTTTCAAAATACGCTGAGGGTGTGTTTTGATCAAAACTGGTTTATCATGCTAGCCTAAAGACAGCCTAACCAGCAACCCACTAAATTATACTGCAGAGTTTGCTATCTGGAACCTCAGGTTGCAGTCAGAGATGCTATTGTGCCTGCTGTAGTGCAAGCAAAAGGGCAATTCCTACCTGCTTCCATAAGAACATACTACCTGTTACCTCCCCAAGGGATTCTCTGGTGGCACACGTTCACATCTTACTTGTTCTGACAATCAATCAGCTTTAGCTCAGCCATTTTTAATAACCCAAAGCCGCCTTCTAATACAGATCATTTTGAGAGAGCAAGGGCAAAAGTGGAAGAGAAACTGCTTAAGCAAAGCTCAGCCAGCAGATCAGCTGCAGACGCAAGAGTAGAAACTCTGCGCTTTCAGGGTCCGGCAGTATGCCTTGAAACCATGATGCCTCACCCTCCTGCTCTCAGTCATGATCTGTTGGCTGAAGTAATCATGAAAAACAAGCCCAAACCAGCTTACATTAAATCAAATAGGACTGAGTTATGCAGAGTTTTCCTATAGGAACGGAAAGCTAAAATAGAAAACTGAAGGAACATGCAGAAACAGACCTGGTGCCAAGAATGGATTCAGTGAAGTAACAGGTTGTGGCGGCTTAGACACCAGTGAATCCAGGTTCACCAAGGCAGCATTGGGGCCCAAAAAAGACTCAGGGGTTTTCCGAGCTGCACTTTGTTTGCCTGATGGCATGCTTGAGTGCTGGGAATCAAAGAGATCAGGGCTTGTGGTACCGCTATGCTGAGATGGCAAAGTGGAACCTGATTCAGCTGAAACAACACAAAAAGAAAAACAAAACTTATCTCATTAATCTACATAGTCAAGCAAAGAAAACCCTGAGGTCTCTGACAGCAGAAATGTTTTAAAATCTACTGTCTGTATTAGTCAGATTTAAACGTTTCAGTATGTTACACCCTTACAGCATGCAAGCAGATAAATGTTCTTTAGAAGAGTATGAAGCAGCTACAGTTAAAGAGTTGCAGTGCTCTACTGAAGGCGCTACCTGATTTGCCCTGATGAATATTCTCACAGCTATGCTGCAACAGATGGGACTAACAGTCTCCAAGGAAAAGATATTCAAAAGCCCTGGCTTCTGCCCTTGCACTACATCACTGCTGCACCCTTCCTAGCTAGATTCCACCCAGGTTTTCTCTTTTGTGTTAAAGCAGCCTAGCCCAGCTTTGAATTAGTCACCATTCTTTCAGGCAGAACCATCCCGAAAGTACATACTATCAAAGCACTTACACGTTAAGGACTGGCAGTTTTTATTTTAGTGACTAATGACCAAATAAAAAAAATCAATTAAAGCATTCATAGAAGTGTATTTTCTCATCTTCCTACTATTGTTACACACTAGAATTTACACGTTTTAGAAATTCAGTCAACATTGTTCTGTTTGACTCTCTGAGCACGAGCCATAATCCAAACACGTTGGATACTGTAAATTTAGAAGTCAAACAAATTTCTGGGTCAATGCAGTGAAAGGTTACAAAGTGAAATTCTATGGCTTACAGTGCAAAAGGCCCATTCCCCGTAAGTTCATGCACAGGCCAAAATGTTAACAACAAGCTTTTACTGCTGCATTGTCACCAGCTTTAATCTTTATATTCGTGAAAGTCAATTTTTTTTTTTTTTTCCTCTAAAATTTAAGAATAGAGACATTTGTTGCCGAGACTAATCACCCAAACTGTCCACGTGCTAAGAATTTGATTCATACCTGGCTTTTTGGAAGTTCGAAGTGTGTCAAATTCAGAAAAATCATCTTTAACTGTACCATTCAAATTACTGAAGAGGTCAAAAGATGTACTTCCTGTTCAAAACAACAAGACAGCCCTGTCATTAACAGATCTTCGGTTGCATCACACACCTGATCCTACCGAAAGCAATTTCTAACCCATTCACATTACCAATAAGCCACTCTGTCAGGTTCCAGGGCAGCAGTTCAGATCAGCTTGAGTGCTCCTACTCTCACCCAGCACCAGGGAGAAGGATAACATCAGAGAACTGTCCTTTCTTACAGTATTAGCCAACTAATTCAGAGCAATGTGCTTTTAAATCACAATGTAAGGCACACCTTAGCACGCTGGGTTTTTATTGAGTGTCTGCACTAGAGAGAGGTATAGGCAGGTATATATTGCTGCGGAAGAAGAGAACAGCAATGAATTTACAGCCTAAACTATAAAGTGTGTTAATCAGCCCTCAAGTAAAATACACTTCTGAATACAGTTCCAAAGACAAATGCAGCATTGCTACAACTTAAGTGATGACTTGACTTACGCTTCTGAAGTTAAAAAGGAGGAGGAATGCAACAGAAAAGGTTATCTACGCCATGTAGAGATGGTAAGGCCCTGTTAGCTGAAGCACCAGAACTTGCCCATAGTTTGCAACCAATGAAAACATAACATTTTCAAAATGAGGACGCACCCTTACCTCAAAATGGAGGAAGAAAAACCACACCCAAATGAACAGCAATCACACTCCTGAAAAGCTTTAGTTTGCTTTGGTGGTTTTTTTTTTTTTTATTATTAGTTGAAATGTTTTTCTAATTTAGTTTTAACCTTCAACACATTTCAAGCAAATGAAGGTACGGACTTAGTTCCATAAAGAGCGCAAAAAGACAAAAACCCGAGAAAACGAGTGAAGACTGTGTACAACAACAATACTTCTTATCAAGAACAAAGACCCACCATAGTTAAAGAATCATTCTCATAATGATCCAGTTATTGCCCTTTGCCCAGTGAAAAGCTGATTAGACAACTTTTTGCAGTACTCTCAGATTCCTTGGTTTATGATGTACTGCGATGAATGACTAGCACAAAATGCATTTAGGATGCATTTAGCCACGGTGCCAACGGGAAAATACCAGGTATTAAGATTCATCAAGGTTGCATTAGTTACAGAGCACGAACAGACAATTACATCAGCGCCTTCTGCATCTTGCTACACAAGGGCTTAGGGATAGCTTTCACACCCTCTGAAGTAACAAACCTTCATTTGCACCTCTAAAAGTCTCCTCAGAGCATGGAGCTGCTCAACCTTGTCAATCTACATCTGAAGAGACATCCATCTGCATAGCTATTTATCATGATGAAAGGTAAAATTACAGCATCATTCATTTCCAGAAATTAAGTCCTTGTCTAATTAAAGATAAAACCCATTTAAAAACCCAACAGCAGGAGCAGTCCTAAGTGCTCAGCATGCATCCACACATACCAATAAAAGAATGTAGAAGGGACAGAGCACAAAGAAGCAACACGAATTCAGAGCTCTAAGTCAGAATAATTACATTTGAAGTTCCTTTCACTGCTAGCTATTACAACTCACATTTATTTTTACAGACAAGTTCTGTGAATTGTCCAGCACATAGCTTCTTTTAACCAAGCAATGCAAGAAAATAATTCAGATTTCACCTTCATTACTCAAATAATACAGATATGGGATGAGACAGTTTCTCACCAGAAGTAGAGAGAGGTTTGTTTGCAGGTGCTGGTCCCCAGGGATCCACAGAAGATTTTGCTGCAGTAGAAGATGGCTGAGCAGGAGCCCAAGGGTCAACATTTTTGGACAGAGACTGAGCTGTGGATCCTGCTGGTGCTGCCCAAGGGTCAACGGAAGCAGCTGGTTTGGCACCTGCAAAAAGAGCCAGCAGGAACACAAGTCAGTAGAGTTCCACTTTGGAAAGCTTTCCTTGGAGATTAATCTCTCTTATGAGCCATTACTGCCAATTAATAATAAACATAAATAGGTGAAGCAGTTCACCATTAGGAATACTGATAAGTCTCAGCATCTGTGGCATACATACTGAACAACAAGCCCAAGTAAATTCTGTGCAACACAGATGAATAAAACAAATCTCCCACTTGAAACTGAATAAAAAAAATCTGCAGTTCCAACAAGAAAATAAACTTCCTTTTGTTACAGACATTGCCACCACAACAGACAACATCTGACTGAAGGTGACCTAAATCACAGGGTATTTATGAACCCATGGGAAAGAAGGTTTCTAAAAAGCCTATATGTAAAAGGTATGAAATATAGAACATTAAGACTTGGACAAAGAAAGGAAATCTGTAAGATTCAAAGGGAACAGTTTTCAAACTCTTTTTACCATACTGTTGTTTTATAAAAATATAATCAGCTTCCCTGAGCTAGTTCTGCTTTTTTTATTCCCATTTGTAAGCACTCCTCCTGACGCAGATCTAAACTCTCCACTGATACCCCTTCCTATATTTTTTTTTTTTAAACCCAATGCCTGTACATTCAGGATTCCCATTTTTATTGGAAGATGCTGACAACTCTTCATTCCTACAAATTCAGATCATCAAACTGCTTGTACACCAAGAGGTTGTGCACAAAGTTAGGGCTTCCTAGTGTAAAACGACAAATTAAGGCAGCAAAGGGAGAAGGAAAGAGGAGGAAACTTGCCTCACTACATACAATTTCCTGCCAGTTTTTTCTTCTTCCTCCCCAACCTACTAATTTATTGCTTTTCAGCTTAGGTGACCTCTTCTTTCTCCTACCATTAAATGGAACGATTTTGGCTTATCAAACCCCAGGACCACTGAAGCAAATCACATTTCAGATTTGCAGTGGGCCAGGTCTGTGTTGGAAGGTATCACTCTTGCTTTGTTCCTATGTCGTCCATCCCCGCTGCCCCTCCCCGGCCATCAGAGTGCAGGAACGGGAACCTAGTACTTTAAATGCATATCCGGTACAACTCTATGGTGATTAATTACCTTCAAGTCAGATAGTACACACAAACACATTTCCTCTTCCCAATGAAACTTCTCAACCAGTCACGGTTTAATTACTGAATGAGAACAACTGTATAATCCAAGAGGAGGACAGAATTACCCATGTGGTACACAGCTATTATCTTTAACCAGCACGTGGGCTTCAAGTTACAGCTGAATATTGTTTTGTTTTTTAAAACTACATACAAACTCCCTTGACATCACAATATTCTTGAAAACCAACTCAGTGCTACACACAGTGGCACAAATTCCAATTTGCAGTGTTGGTCTTTGTTTCGTCAACAGGCAGCATGGTCTTGCTACAGCTTCGGACCAGGAAATGCTAAAATTCTCCAAATAAGTCTAACTGTTCTCACACCGGTGCTTACATTTCCTTTATCTACCCTTAGTGCTGAGTTACAAGCAATGCCACACAAGAAATGCTAATGACAGCACTTCCCATAAATGGAAGCTTTCAAAAATGTCTTCTCCTTCATAAAGAGCGCGCACAAAATTAGAGCACTTGGGAAGATACCTTCCCATAGCTTCCATTATCTCTACTGAAATGCCAAAGCACACGCAGAATTTGAGAAATACAGTTTAATGAGTCACTTTTATTAGCAGTCAAATTCATAAATCTTACATCTTCAAGAATACCCTTGGGAGCCAAGTAACCAGCAAGCTGGAAACAAGGGGTTGTTCTACGGCATTAAGAAAGTTGGGAGCCACCGAGAAGAAATGCTACAGCTGCAACTGATGCAAGGAAAATCTTGCCAGAGGATGATATATCGAGCACAAGATTTGAAGAAGGTGGATCCTGTTTGGTTTTTAACCACGGAAAAATACACTGAACAGCCTTAGGGCCCAGAACTTGGGACTTTTTCTGATTTCATGCTTGCAGTTTATCACCAAAAAAGAAACAGATTACACTTAGAACAATGAACTGTAGTTGGCCCAGCAGCTATGTAGGTGCCTCTAATGCCACCACGAGGAGGAAAAAAAATGCATTTCATTATTAAACTTCAAAATTTTCATCAAGAATCTCGATGGTGGTGCACTGAATGCCAATACAAATTCCTTTGAAGCACTTTATAGCAGAGGTCATAGAATCACCAGCCTGAAGCAAAACTGACAGAACTAAGCTGTTAGTCTTCAGGAAAAAGCTTCCATTTGCACAGAAACCCCCTCCCCTCAAAATCTAATGCCACCACGAGGAGGAAAAAAAATGCATTTCATTATTAAACTTCAAAATTTTCATCAAGAATCTCGATGGTGGTGCACTGAATGCCAATACAAATTCCTTTGAAGCACTTTATAGCAGAGGTCATAGAATCACCAGCCTGAAGCAAAACTGACAGAACTAAGCTGTTAGTCTTCAGGAAAAAGCTTCCATTTGCACAGAAACCCCCTGCCCCCTCAAAAAAGAAAAAAAATCCAAAGCAAACAAAAAATAGATCCAGCTCCAATTCCACAGATGTAGCAAGTTTAACACATACTGTGAGGAACCATCAACTTTCTTATGCAAAGGAGTAACTCCCCAGACAGACTTTGGCTAACCTAGAAAACAGCACACTACACAGGCAGCAAGACACACACACGAAAACAAACAAGCAAAGAAGTGGACTTAACTGCTCTTTAAGATGTGAAGCACTGGATCTTTCACTTCAGAAACAGATTCCATGAATTTAGCATCAAAAGCTTATGAAACACGGTGAATATTTAAAATGGTAACCTCAATTTTTTTGTTTACTATGAAAATCTCTATTTAAACAATTTAATCCATTTGGCCTGATGGTATACACATCCCATTTCACATTTCACTAGGAGCAGTTAAAGACATGATAATTCAAATCTATGGCCTTCCTAACCATAGCACCCTGCCTAAGTACTATATTAAATACCGGCAAGAGTCTAAACCCATGACACTAGGCACAACTAGCAGTCAAAGCATGAGCATCCCCCCAGTCTGAAACAAGTTGGTTTTGCTGTACAAAGATGACAGAAGCTTCACTCTTCTCCTCTTCCTTAAGATTCAAAACGCACACACAAAAACCCAGCTGCTTAAAAAGCAGCAACAGAGTCCAACTTCCATTTGTTTCTGCTTGGAAATGAGTTAGGGGAACGTTAGTTCTAGAGTACGGGAAGCAATCAAAATGGACTAATATACTGTCGTTATCAAGCATGACACTGTATGTTGAGAAACTTCAAAAAGCTCAAAGTTTTTGCTTTTTAGCAAAAACTTTTAAATAAGCATTCCTTCTGGCAGTTTATTCTTACCAAATGATTGCCATGGGTCAGAGGCAGTGGCTGCAACTGTGGATCCTCCCCAGGGATCAGTTTGGTTTGCAACAGCAGGAGGTCCCCAAGGTTCTGTTTTCTGCGGGGCCGGTGCCGACGAGGGCAGGGCATCCATTAGGTCCAACAAAGTGGTATGCTGAGGGCAGGAATAATCTGAGCTTTAATCAAGAGCATTACCAATCTGAAGTACAAACCCATGAGAGTGAAGAAGCAATTTTTTTTTTTCCTTTTACACACCTGCATTGACTAGTAGTTTGAAATTTAACCCGCATGGAAGAAGCTTTAAGATATACAACAAAGCAATCCCAAAAGCATAAAAGAGCTCAGTATTAAGCTATTTTGTGTTACTGTATTTCAGCTTTTGGCAGCATAACCGGGAATTTCTTAGTCGAAGGCACTACCTCCTTCTTTTTGGGAATTTTAATTGTGTCTCTGCGACTCTCCTCCAGAGCCATCTGTAATCTCAGATCATCTCCGCGTCTGAGGCGCTCCTCCTGCAAAGGAAATCAACACTGTTGATATAGACCATTAGCCTAGACTGTGCTGCTTGCTCCCTCCAGGTGTCTAGCCCCCTTGGCAGGACACTGCCAGGGAAGGCCTGGGCAGTACTCCCTGCCACCCTAGGAGTGATGTGCACCACAGGCACGCGCAGTGGGATTGCCAGGATTATTTGCTGTAACTTGTACATAACACAAGTGAGGAAAAAAAAAATTTCTTGTGATTCTTGCCTCAAACAGAGGTCAGGAGCACCCTGACCCTGTAATACCAGTACAACAGTGTGATCATAACATCCATTTCACTGACTGAAATTTACCCTCATGTTGTTTTACTCCTAACGGGAAAGGTATAAATGAAACGTTCTTTCCAAAAATTCAGTTACAATGCTAGAAACACCACAGAAATGAAAGACAAAGTAAATATCCCATCTTTACATTATTGTAATGTTTTTGAACATTCAAATCACCACTGAAGGACACAGTGATTTAAACTTTACTTTTCCTGGCTTTTGTCAGCTTCCCTCCACAACTGATGCAACTGTTATAGAGAATGCTAAGTGAATCAATCTAGCCAATTCCATGCATATTTTGTAGGTTTTTAACATCTGTAAACTGCCATGTTTGTGGTACGTTCAACTACTTTAAATATCTTTGCTTGCATCACGTCTTTCAGAAGTTGACTAATTCCCCAGCTGGTATTTCCCTTGCAATGTTTTAAGCTATTTCAACTGATAGATTTTGATTTTTATTTTCTTTAACTTCATTGCTCAATAATGACAAAGTTTACTGGGTGATAGCTTCCCTTTCCAAGCACAGAGATACCAATGTCTAACATACAGCAGTAAGCTAAAATTGTCACAGGAAGCCTCTAAAATATTACAGACACTCAGCAGGCTGATTTGAATTTTCACTCATAGCTGAGATTCAACAACTTTGTTATATGTTAATATGCAGTAAACTTTATCCACAATTACAGAATTTACTCCAAAGTCAGAATGAACCTCCTAAGAATTACCACAGTAACATAACCTGTGTGATAGATTAGGAGCCAAGTTATTTTAAACCAGGTTCTTTATAAATTCTAGTACTTTGTGTCAGGTCACCCTTCTGTTCCAGACAATCTCACCGAATCAGCAGATCATTCAAAATTTCATTGTAATCAGAATTCACTGACATTTCTTATGCTGGCCCCATTAATGAAGCTTTTCAGGACTAGTCATGTTTTCAGTTCTTCCTAACTGAAAACATCTTCAAGTAATGTGATGATTAACATCCTCCCACACAAAGTCTTCTTGCAAAGTGACTGTCATCTTCCACTAGTCTCAACAGCTCGGAGGCTGCAGTTACTTTAAAAAGAGATTTAAAAAAAAAAAATTAAAAAAAAAGAGCAACGTCTTCCAAAATGGCCTTTCTCTCCCCCTTTCCACCTGGAGCAAAGCCAAGCTGCCATTAAAAAAAAAATAAACCAACAGGATTGTAGTCTCTACTATGAAAGCATGGACATTTTGGAAAACCTACACGGGAACTGACCTGCTCCGCCACTTCCCGGCTCATTGCCAGCGCGAGCTGTAGTTGGAGCTCCTCTTCTCCACTTGTCTGAGGCCGGGCCTGCTCGAGCTCCGAGGAAACTCGAGGGGATGTAGCTGTTGGAGACAAAACCCAGCAAGTTTAACACCAAACAACACAAAGATATAACAGGTTTGTTTATTCCTCTGACAAGACCACCCCACTTTCACACAGCCGTCCTCAAAGGTCCCCAGCACAGCGACAGGCCCCCCGAGTGCCAGGGGCCACCGAGTCGCCGACCACCATCAGCTCCCTGAACGGTCAGAGATAACCTCAGCCTTGGCACAAGCTTTAACAAGCCAGAACAATTAAGCAGGGAGAACTTTGCACAGCAGTTCAATTGCTTTAAAAGGAAAAGGTTCCTGGAAAACAAAGGCTTTTTGTGTTAGTGGGGTTGTAATATCAAGAAGTATCACCAACGAATGCTGAATACCCTGTCCCAGCATACCAGAGCTTCGGGGGGCAGAACACTAACTATAGAATTAATCATTCAAGAAAATGTTTGTTGATATTTCTTACATCTTACAATGTCAGTAAGAATTTGCTCAGAGTTGGGCAATACCAGGGTAAAATTAGATACCACCCACTTTTCTGTAAAATAATACGGTCTTAATGGGACAGATAAAGAACGATTCTTAACTGCTAGGCAAGCTCAGAGACCAACAAGCCAGCTATTCATACTCAAAATTTACAAAAATACTGTATCATTCTCTGTTTCAAAAAAGAAGTTTGGTAAATATGTTGGGGGGTGGTTTGTTTTTTGTTGTTGGTTGGTCTTTCTTTGGATGAAGACCTCTAATTAGCTAAGTAGCAGCTGGTAATCTCCCTCCCTCCTCCCCAAATAACAGTCAAGCTTGACAGCTAAAATGCACAATTTCTCAATACACAAATATTCTTTTACTGATGTTTTCACTACAGTAGCATGCAGACATTCCCATCCAAATGGAACAACACTAATAGGTTTATCACTATACAGTAATTAAAAAATTTTTGTCCTCTCTTTCAGGTAATTCTCTAGCATCCACATCATTTATACAGAAATTTTATCTTACTTTGGCAAGGAAGTTTGTATTTAGTGGTTGGAATGATAATTAGTTCGGCAAAATATATATTGACATTTAATAAAAAGGAACGATATTTTTAAACTATGATGTCAAGCTCAAAGAAGTCACGTTTCTTCTTAATAGATCAGCTAGGCATGTAAAAATTAGATTGCCAAATTGTAATTTTTAAAAAACCCCCACTGTTTCAGTCGCTACTTGAATCCTCCAAGTATTTCCCAGTCTTGTCTCCCCCTAACTTTTAGGCCAAAATGACATTATAAAATAAAAAGCGGTACCTTCTCTCTCATCCAGCAGGCCAGAAGGAAGGTGACTCTCCATAAACGAGGAATGACCTTTCCTTTCCACCATACACCCAATGTGCCATCCCATTCCACTCTGTTTCTAAAGGGACAAATCAATTTACCACCCAGAGCGATTCCTTCCACATTGTGCTGATCCTGAAGCTTTCAAGCCAATCAGACAACCTCCTTATTTCACATGAAGATGTTACTCATACCTCAATTCTATTACTTTTTCAAACTTTCTCATATAAAGTATCTAAATTTAGCCTGCTTCATGAGTACTTTTTGCTCCAACAGTCACAGACAGGCTCTCCAATATATTATAGACTATTACAGACTTAAAGTAGGAATAAACAGGGCATCAGATAACAGGATGGCGGACAGCATGGAAAATAGAACCTTAAAATGTTTGTAAAATGTGAGTATTCTTAAATATGAAAATAAAGAGAATTAAAAAGAAAACAGGGTAAAACTCAACACGAGGTTACCAAAAGGTAGCCCATGTCAGAAAAACTGAGATCCTTCTCTGATTTGTCCGTCAAAAGGAAAAGCAGCGAAGTTAATCTATGTGGACTCAGCAAAGCATTTTATGATGCTAAATAGGATGTTACTATTAAACAGAGGGTAGCGTAAGAACTGAAATAGGTAAAGAACCAGTTGAAGAAGAGATTACGTCATACTGCCTACCACCAAGGAAGTTTACTAACAGTTTCTCAAGAACTGGCTTTAAGACCGAGCTTAAGAAAAATTATGTAATAAACAAATGCAGGAGGTTATGGGAAAATGCAAAGATAATGCTAAGAATTGTCAAACTAGAGGGAGAAACAGGAATATTAAAAAAACCAGATGACTGAGAAGGGAAATGGGATGATACAGAGAAAGAAAAATCGTTTCTTTGATGACCACCTTCTGCTAATTGGGGGCATCAACTGCAAGTGACAGAGATATAGAGAACTTTCTTCAGCACTAAAACACCCGGTAACTCCCAGCCCCTAACCTAATACAGCTATTACTAACATTAGCACTACTGCATCAAAGCATTAGTCAGAATTCATCTAACATACCAAATGCAATTCTAGTCATTCAAATCCCAGACAGACAATTTCAAAACAGAATGGATGTGGAAACGCTTCCCTTCTGAGTACAGAGAATATTTTATGTGTTCATCTTTGCAAAAAGAAGATTGAGCAGCTCATGGTTGCTAAATACATCAGGCTTGCAAATACTATGGAGTGAGAAAAGCTATTTAAGATAAAGGGGCAAGAACTAATGGTATAAATTGACCGTTAATAAATTTGAGATACAAATAGAAAGAAGTGGCTTTTCCAGCAGGAATTATAGAAGGAAAGAGTCATAACTGGTTTACAAACAGAGCTGGATAAGCATACAATGGGACACCAACATAGTCACCTGAGAACAGATGGCAACTGGACTATGATCAGGCAGGTACCTTCTGGTCTTCTGTTTCTTTAACTGCAATTGTGGGGAAGAATGTGAGTTCCTGCACTTTTTGCGTAGGAGTTTTTCCATCTCTGTTGACATAACTACATTCCATAACAACTCAGAAGCTGATGGTAGAATGGCTTTAAGATGATGTGAAATGGGTTAACTCCGTTGATTTTCCTCCCATTCCCACATGAAGGACTACCTACTGAAAAGTGCTCACCAGTTTCAGCTTTTAACAGCGCACAGCATTTTTGCACTAAAAAGCTGCAAGAAGCAGGGATTGCGTCCCACTCCAAGCGTCTCACTCGCCCTCCCATGGTGGGTGCTCGCCTCCCAGCCGCGCACGGGAACGGCAGGCTTGCTTTGGCAGAGAGCTACATTACCTCACAGCTCCCAACAGAGCCCAGCATTCAGCGGCTCCAGGATCTGAACACAGATAATAAGGGGTCTCACAGATATAGCTTATTTCTTTTCACTTTTAGGCTTTTCAGCAGTTTATTCTACTTGGTTTTATTAACTCTAAAAGGCACTTTAGAGCTCCTTTTACAAAAAAAGGAAAAAATTGTCAATTTGAAATTCTTCCTTGGGCCTCACATTAAAAAACATTGATAAAAATGTTGCTATTTTACATTTAAACTTCTGCAGTGGTTATAAAACCATCTACAATAAATAGTTGCCAGCATATTTTTTGAAAAAGGATTAAGGGAAATTCAAAACACTGTTCTTGGTAGTAATCCGACATGTTTTATCCAGCAACTTCACTCCTACATTCCCGCAGCACTATAACTGCTCTTCTATATTGCCCTCATCCTGCATTAACGTTTTAGTTGCAAGGATCTAGCATAAAGGTTATTGCCTTAGTAACAGTATCGCTGCCACACAAAGAATCTCTTATCCCACAGCACATGACAGTTAACTCAGATGTTTATGTAAGATGGGACTCAATAGATCAATTCTGACCTGCTAAGCCCTGCTTTGTTGCTGCTTTGAGAATTTGGAGATCCCAGCACCCCTAGGCCGCCCAGGAGCAACTGTGCAGGTATCTGCTTCTGCAGGGAGACATGCCACCGGGCCGTCTTCTCAACAAGACTCTAGCTGCAGTGCAAGGAAATAATTTCCAACCTCAGTTAATCACTAAAGCAGGATCCTGCTCCACCTTCTGTCTCTAGTACAGGCTATGACATCCTTCATACGTTATCTATAATTTACTGTGTTTTGGCTATATGAAAAGCCCTCTGTAGACGTCTATACGTTTGGTTAAGTTAGTGAGTTAAAGTGTATAAACAGCACACAGCTAGAAAGCAGAGTCGTTGCCCATGTTAACAATAAAAATCAGTCCCAGCATAAAAAAAAAAATCAGACTGGGTATTTTCATTCAGGAGCACATGCTTGTTTTTTTGGATTAGTTTGGGGTTTTTTTTTAAATGTCACCCTAGACCAAGTGATGGCACAGAGTGGCATGCAAAATAAGCCCCAGCTTTATAATTTGCAGGTGGCATTCTTAAGAGCAGAATTCAGTTTTTAGTCACATTTGTTCAGAAAGAAAAGCTGCTTCCTCACTCAATCAGTACGCCTACAAAGGTAGACAAAAGCAAGGCTGACTTGAAAAATTAGAATAATATCAAGGTAAGAACTTAGAAACTGATAGCAATTCACTTGGGAACCAAGCGGAGATCCTATTTGTTAGTCTTCAAATGAAAGACTATTCAAATAAAGATGGGATACTTTCAAAAAGCCAATCTAACCTCTCAAATTATGAAAGGGCATGCGCAAACTGCTTAATCTAGAAGGAATTGTGTAATCCACCTTTCCATTGGGAATTAAAGAGATCTTTCAAATACAAGAAGAGAATTAATAGCACCTATTACTGCGACAAGGTAGAGCTGATCAGCCTTACTGCGTGATTTCTAATTGCACTGAAGCAGACAGAGCACTTTTGAAATTCATTTAATAGTGAACAAATCCTTAAGGCTTGTTTTGGTTAAAGAGCATTTTTTCTCTCAGGTGATCCCTACGCTCATCTTAATAGACAGATAATTTATTGCAACTACAGAAGCCTGGTTACACCAACGGCATCTCCCACCTTTACTTAGAGCACCAGAAAAATATAAGTATGATGAGCGGATTAAATCAAGCTGTCAAGTGACATCTGACATAACACAGGAGTCTACCGAATTCCTTCAACACCTCAAACTACAGAAATTACCCACACAGCTCATCCAGATTCACTGCTGTACAATATGCCATATATTCCCTGACTAAGATGGAAGGCCAGAGATGTATTCC